GTTGGCCCTTCCGAGATGGCCCGGGGAAGCTTGCGAAAACTGCGAAAAGGACCCGCCTGGTTCCGAAAACGATCCCGAGACGGCCGCCTGGTCGAGCGCGCGTCCGGAACTCCGCGCAAATCCCCCCACCAATGATTTTTGCACGAGAAGAAGGAGAGGGTGGGGGGGCGGGTGGAGGCGGCGGCGTTGCACGAAGCCACACATCGTCGAGTGTCCAAAACGCCCAATGCACAGCGCGGCGAACCCCTGACCGAAGTTGGCGTCCCCCGCGCGCCAAGCAGATCCGCGGGGCAAAGATGGCGGCGCCGGCGCGCCCGCCGCCCTGCAGCGCCACAGCGAACGGATCGCGCGACCTATGGAGACGCAGCACCAAAACAAGCCTGAAAAACGAACCAGCCAATGAGGAGGATGAGGAGGAGGGGGAGGAGGAGGAGGAGGAGGAGGAGGAGGAGGAGGAGGAGGAGCAATCGACATGCGACGAACGCGCGCCCACCTGGCGACCCGAACTGCGACGATGCATACTGCCGTTCGGCGCGCCGCGCGCGCGCGCAGTTTGTCTGCCGACCTCTGCGTGCACGTCCTGCAGCTTCGAGCATGTGTTCTGGCTTGCGAAGCGCCGCGGAATCCATTAAGAACCCATCCTGCCGCGAAGCCCCCCTGATAATATTTAGAGCTAGGCGATTGGCTGCGCGAGGGAGCAGCAGTGCGAGCTGTGCTGACATCAATTTCTGAATATGTCATGGGCGCTGTATTAGGAACAGTGCTTCTGGAAGAGAGTGGCACTGGAAATACCATCTGACATATACATAGCTGTCACTGGAACGGTAGTACTAGTTGTAGTGAGACCTGTATGTTTGCTGCTGACAGATCTGCCATCTGTTGTGTGGTAGGAATTGTAAGACGAGCTGTTGCAGGAGTTGCCGCCGGAGCTGCATTGGGAGCTGAACTGCTGGCTGCAGTGAGATGTTCATATGAGTTTTGGTGAAAGCTGTTCGTTGTAGGGGCGGTAGTAGGAGCAGTACAGAGATGTTCACGATGCTGTAAAAGTAACTTTGCCAATAGCTGTTGCAGGAGGTGTAATGAGAATTGTGAGAATTGCACGACTGGCTATAGTTCGTATTGAAACAGAAGCTGCATTGTGAGCATCACCAGCAACTGTCCTGCACTGTACACGGAAATTCTGTAGGAGCTGTGGTCAGAGATGTGCTACTGGCTGGCATGGGAGCTGTAGCGGTAGATACAATGAGAGCTGCAGTCGAGCAAGAACTGTACCAGGAAGAGCTGGAGCTGCGAAGAGAGCTGTGAGACTAGGAGCTGCATTCTGAGATGTATTGGAAACTGTGCGCCTGGTTGCGATAGAGCCCATAACAGGACCAACAAAAGACGAAACATACGACGAATAGGGACGGGGGCGGAAGAGAGCAATGCGGATAATGGGGGCGGGAGATGGAAGGAGGGTGAGAGGTGGCGGCGGAAAAACGGAGTACGAATCACCGAACAGAGGCGACAGGCAGAACAAAAACCAGCAAAGATGAGGGCGATGACGACAACCAACGTTCCAGAAGAAGCAAGATCAGCATGACAACCCTGAGAGATGGCAGGGTGATGATGGGATGGTGGGCCCTGGGGGGGGGGGCGCGGGGGGGAGGGGACTGAGCAACTAGAATGTGTACACCACTACTATAGACGTGTATGGAAAGAACTAGCAGTGTGAGCATATGAATATACACACCTCCATCAGCATACAGACACGTTCGGGGATGGACAGACCTCCCTTTAGTAAAACGTGGTTTGGTGAAATCGACCTGAGGCCCAAACCTGGCGGGCGCAAGCCTGGGAAATAACGGCCGCGGCGCCCTCTCGAGAACCGACAACGAACAATTCACTAATCGACGTGTCACTGTTGGGGGCTCTGTCCGCCCCCGACACGTACACATGCATGCGTGTGTCTCCGTCTCCCTCTCTCTCTCTCTCTGGCCCCTGCCTAACCCCGCGCCCAAGACACCAGAAGGGGGCGGCATCGGCCGTGCACGCTGCCCGCGAAGAGCTCCTCCAGGCACACCCCGGGCGGCCAGTGCAGCGGGTGGCCCTCGGCCAGGGCCTGAGCTGGGGAGCGGCCAAGAGGGGGGTGTCCAAGGGGGGGGGGGGCGCAACTCATGACCGGCGGCATGTGCGCGGCCCAGCGGGGAGGCCAGGGACGTAACGAAGCAAGAAGAGGCGCCATGAGATCTGGGGAAATATCATGGCCCCCGCCATGATATCCACCCCCCCTAGGCATCACCCCCCTCGTTTCCGCCCCCGATGAGGGAGGAGGAGGAGGAGGAGGAGGAGGAGGAGGAGGAGGAGGGAGGAGGAGGGGAGGAGGAGGAGGGGGAGGTGGGAGGAGGAGGAGGAGGAGGAGGAGGAGGAGGAGGAGCCGGGGCCGGCGCCAGAGCCCCTCCGGGGCTGCGGGCGCCGACCTCCGAGGCACCGGAGGCTGCAGCGCGGAGGCTAGGAGGAGGAGGAGAAAGAGGAGGAGGAGGAGGAGGAGGAGGAGGAGGAGGAGGAGGAGGAGGAGAGGGAGGAAGAGGACGAGGAGGAGTGGGGGCCGGCGGGCCCGGCACCGCATCGAGGAGTCGGAGCGGCGATCGGCAGGAGTCGGCTCGGCGGATCTCGGCAAACCGAGTCGGGAAAAGCCGGATCGGCAGAAATCGGCAGGCGAATCTGCCTCCACAAAGGAATCGGAGCCCAAATCGGAAGCCAAAGTCGAATCGAATCGGAACCGGAAGCAATCGAAAACAGATCGAGTCGCATCGGTGGAATCGAAACGAGCCCTGGAGACCCACCGGCTACGAGCGCCGATCTCCAAGGCACTGGAAGGTGCAGCGCGGAGGCTTCTCGCCATGTTCGGTCTCTGGGGGCACTCCCCGGGACGTGCCTCCAGACAATCAAAGTTTCAGGGCGCTTCTGGGGCCAACATTTGGAAGGCTGAGGCGATTTGTTTGACCGTCCTGAGCAACTTGGGGTATCTGTATGTTGTTTGCTTTTCGGGGCCCTCCATGGCCGTCTTGAGGGTTGTCTTGGGGCTCTTCGACGTGTCCTTGTATGGAATTCTCCAATGGCCATCTTGGGCTGTCTGGGGGCCGTCGTGGGCTGTCTGCGGCCCCCTCGAGGTCGCCTTGGGGGTCTCTTGGGGCCGCCCTGGAGCTCTCATGGCCGTTTTGTTGGTCTCCATGCCAGCCTCAGGGCCAGCTGGGGGCTCTCGTGGGATTGTTTTGAGCTGTCTCGTGCCGGATTTGAAGGATTACGATTGGGCCGTCGTGGATGCTCAGATGACTGACATGGCAACACTGCCAAAGCCATGGAAACCCCACCGTGTTTCGCAATTTGTTTAAGCCTGTTGGGGGCGCTCGTGAGCTGCCAGTGGAACGTCTTAAGAGCTTCTGGGGCATCTTGGAGCTTCCTTTGCGTCATAACTTGGTGGCAAAAGTGCCTCGGGGCCCTCTTGGGGCAGTCCTGAGGCTGTCTTTGTTTTGTTCCGCAGAGCGCCAGCACCGACGATTCGAACATCATGAATCTGGAGCTGGCCAAGGGCCAAGGACGACTGGCAAAGAAGAACACTGAGGAGCCAGCTGACGCATAGACCTGCAGAGGTATTAGAGCAGGAAGGTACGCCAAGGTAGCAAGCCTGGCTGCGTGGATAAGCCTTGCCAATCTGCCGCTGCCCTGGCTGGTCACTGCGCAATGATCTCGCAGCGCATCCTGCCGGCTGTCTTTGCCAGTGCACTCCCCTAAGGGAGGGAAAGGAGGGAAGAGGACGGAGGGAAGGATAGAAGGGCTGATGGGGGCACCGAGGAGACGGTGGTCCGGGGGGGAGCTGGTGGTCTTGCCTATGCTCGGGGCGGCCACGCCAAAAAAACACTAAACTCGGCGCCGTGCGCCAGCCTTTTTTGCCGGCAATTGGCCGCAATGCTGCTCGCTGGCGGCCCTACCCGTGCAATGCCGGCGGCGTCGGGTGGTGTCTCGTATTCGGTGTGGTCGGGGGGCTCCTGCCGCGTCATGAGGGCCTGGCTTGCGCGATCCACCTCATCTAGGCTGTGTCCTCGTCAGGCTCTACGGGCACCGACGGATCTACGAGATATCCTCCACCTGCTCCCCGGCGGGGAATAGGAGGAGGAGCGGGAAGAGGAGAGAAAGGGTGAGACTCAGTGCACACAGCGATTCCCTGGAAGACAAGGGTGTCGTGTCTATTCGGGCGCGCGGTTCCCTGATACTCTTCGCTCATTCACGAGGCGCGCGCGTGTCTATTTTGATGTGTCGCGTATACTGTGAATTACAATGCTTCGTGGCTGTGTTTTTAGTGTGTTTCATTAAATGTACATGATTAGACACGTTTAGACGCGTTTAGACATCTTTTTAGACATGATTAGACATGTTTAACACGTCGTATCGGAAAAATAGACACGAGTGCATTTTAGACACGGATAGACACGTTTAAGACATGTTTAGACATGTTTAGACGCGTTCGGATTAGACACGGATGAACACCGACAACGCAACGACTCGTTTAGACACGAATCAAACACGCAACGAACCATGTAAGAACTGACAACATCATAATTACTCGGACATGCGCGCATGAAGGTCGGGCAGTGGTTGGCCCAGTGCTCTGCCACGAATTTGGAATAGCTGACGATTCGCACGCAGGCGGCTTAAATTAGCCGCAAGCAGCCTAAATTAGAAGCGGCCGTCAGGACGCGTTGCTGACCGCCGCTGTCGATGCGTAGCATACTCGCATGGACAGTCGCATGGATTCTCGCATATATTTCGGCCAGATTCCGAATGTATTGATCCCCCTTTCCAAAACTGGAGTCAATGTGATGTTGTATGGCTTTGCAGTGGGAGACGCCTTTTCTGCAGCAGAGCCCTGCTGCATTCTTCAGAAAGCTCCTTCTTCGGCTGCGGCGGCCACAGGCTGTACGCGGTGCAGGCCGCCGTGTTCCCCGCCACGCCCGCGCACATCAGGTACTTCCAGCGGCCGGCCTGCAGCGACTCCATGCCCATGAGCAGGGCCAGGGCGATGGCCGCCACCTTTTGAAGTTTGCGGCAAACGACGCGAAGAACGGGGAGAGGTCCCTGACAATGTTGTACAGCAAGAGGTTGTAGCCGAGGGCCCAGATGCCGGACAGCATCACCCGCACCACGGTGCCGAGGCTCAGCTGGGCGATCTCCACGAACACGCTGAAATTCGTGGCCATCTCGTGCCCAGGATAAGACACGGGGTGCTTGATCAAGTAGATGGGCAACAACAGCAGCACGACGATTGGAATGGCCATGTAAATAAGCGAGTCGATAGCGTTCAGCTTGACCCCTTGCCAAGAATCACCACTACGATGAGCTCCAGGGAGACCCAGCGTGTCGTTGCCGCCGCCCTCGTTCTGGGCCGCCGTCTTCTTCTGGGCGCTCTTGGAGATAACCACCAGCGCCGCGCAGATGACGCCGAGTAGCACCATGCCTACCTTCGCAGGAAAGCACAGCTGCAGGAGAAGAGACATCAGCGGGCTCGTGGAGCGGACCATAACGTTAACGGACATGTCCAGGGGCAAGAGGCTGAAGTTGTTGAGGGCGATGTTCAGGGTGAAGCACACTGCGAGGGCCATCACCGCGAAGGCCTGGTCCTTGCTGACGATGGTGTGCGGCCTGTAGGCCCACGGCGTCAGCTGGGACACGAGGATCGCCAGCGCGAGGAAGAGGAAGCCCGCGAGCTGCTGCATGGCCGTCAGCACTAGGGTCGCATAGAAGCCCCGTATGTTGAGCTCCTGGGAGACCGTGTGGATGTGCAGGATCGCCGTGATGTACATCAAGTTCATGAAGTTCTGAGCCCCGAAGAACAGGAACAACTGCGCCAGGGTCTGGTACCTGGGCAAGATGACGAAGACGCCGCCGCCGAGCACCAGCGCCAACCAGGACACCCCGAGCTGCGTGAACAGATCCGCGGATTCTATGCGGGCCGGCTCCTCGATCGCGGTGGTGCCAATAAGCATTCCTCCACTCTCCAGTACCTCGACGCTCACATGCACCTTCGAACCATCGCCCACTATGAGACCATGGGGCGCCTGTTCTCTGGGCCTCCGGAGATGCCCGCCCTTCCCCTCTATGTCCATGACGGCAGAGCCGCCTGCCACGGCGAGCAGCAAGCAGCAACGCGCGGCCGACATGGCTACTAAAACTCCGTCGTTGGGCGCTTTTGAAGACTACTGGGCCGTCTTGGGGCGATCCTCGGAGCCTTGAGCCAAAATGGTTACGGACAGTCCTGAGGCTGTATTGGGGCGTTTCGGAAAGGCATTGGGGCCTGTCTGGGAGCCTTCTTGGGCTCTCTAGCGGCCGTCGTGAGCCAACTGGGGCCGCTCGAGGCTACTTGGGAATCTTTTGGGGCCGTCCTGGAACACTCTTGAAAACATCGGGGGTTTTGTTCGGCGGTTTGAGGGCCAGCTGAAGGCTTCCGCGGGGCAATGTTGGGGTTTTGGGTATGAGCCGTCTTGTGACGATATCAGAAGCTTCTTGGGACGCTCGGGAGACCCAGAAGGCGGGGATACCAAACCGCACCAAACGCCAAACGGAATCATTGCTGTTTGCTGGCCAGGGCCCTCGAGGATCGGTCCCCGACGGATGTCGGAACGTCCGTCTTGTAGTTCTTTTCTGCCCCTGGGGCAGTATTGGGGCCTTCTTGTCCGTCATTCGGTCCACTCGGCCAGTTTTCTGGGCATCTGGGGCCGTCATGGGCCCGAGTGAGGCCACCTTGGAAGCAAGCTTGGGGCCAATTCCAATAGACCAGCCCCTGGCACCCGAAGTCTGTCGAGACTCCTGGCTGAGGACCCCAGACACTCCACCTGCTTTTCCGGGAGTCATGGTCCAAGAAAAGGCACTTGCTCCCTCTCTCCTCCCTCCTCTCTCCTGTGTCCTCCCGCCCTGCATCCCCCCTCTTTCGCATCTGTTCTCCCTCCTCTTCTCTGCTATGCAATCGCGCTTCCCCCTCTCCTTTCCAGCTGTATACGTGATGCTCTCGCCCACGTCCTCGCGCATGTTCTTCCACCCTCCCGCCTTCCGGGGTGATTCATGCCTTCCCTCCCCCCACTCTTCCTCATCCTTCACTTCATCCTCTCCGTCTATCTCTCTCTCTCTCTCGCTCTTTTCCTCCCTCCTTCCCCTGCCTGCCCTCCATCCTCTCGCCATCGACTTCGAAGTCTGGGCCGGAGAGGGGAGGACCTGGACGTGGAGCACGGCGAGGAGATCGAGGAGGCCGCGCACAGCCCGCCCCCTCCAACCAAGGAGGATACTCCAGATTTCGTAATAAAGGGAGGCGGGTCTCATTTCGGGGGGGGTCCCTTCCAGGCTATCTTGGAGGGCCTGGGGGGGTCTGGGGACGATGTTTTGGAGGGTCCTCCCACGGGGGAGGTCCGAAATGGCTTGTCTTGGAGGGTCCAGACCCCCTCCCTTTTGTTACGAAATCTGGAGTACCCCGAGTGCGGGCCTTGGGGGGAAAGACCCAGAGGCCGACACCGCCGATGTGGAGGCCGCCAGGCCTGCCGCTGCATGGTGGCTCTTGCGCCGGACGTGCTCTGCCATTCACACGCCTCCCGAACAGCTCTCCTGGGCAGAATCCCTCCCTTGTTCCCTCCTCCCCCCATGGGTCCTCTTCCTCCTCCTTCGCCTCCTGCTCACGCACTCTTTCATCATCCCTGCCTCCCTTCTCCCTACTCCTCCCTGCTCGTATCTTCCTCCCTCCAAAAAATGAAGTTCATAAGCCTAGACTTGCGGAGGTCTGCGCGAAACTCTTGGACCGGCGATGGAACCTCCTCTCCGGCGCGCTCCGCGCGCCACGGGCGCCGCTGGAGGCGCCGCCTGGAAGTCTGGCGCCAACTAAAAAAACTGCGCGCAGATCCCCTCAAGTTTACGCATATGCACTTTCGATCCAACCCCCCTCGCCGAGGCCTCCCAGTCAGGAAGAAGCCTCAGGTACGGCGCGAACTGCGACGCAGACCCCAGGTGCAGCTCCCCCAGGAGAGCCTGGCAGCAGCAGTTGCTGCTCCGCCGAGCCGGGGGCGGCGCAGCAGCCCAAGAAGCAGCCAAGCGAACTGTTCTCCTCATCCTCCCTCCTCCTCCCTCCTCCTCCTCCTCCTCTTCCTCCTCCTCCTCCTCCTCCTCCTCCTCCTCCTCATCATCCTCATCCTCCTCCTCCTCCTCCTCCTCCTCCTCCTTCCTGTCCTCCTCCTCCTCCCCCCTCCTCCTCTGACTGCTCTCCTCCCTCCGGGCAGGGGGGGAGGACAGCGCGGAGTGGCATGGCAGACCGGCGGTCCCCCGCCGGGTCAGTGAGGCATCCTGCACCGACGGCGAGGAGCCCTGGCTTTGTGCGGCGGCGCCGACAGAGATCTGCCGCCGAGGGCTCCGGAAAGCGGCTGGGCACTCCGGTCTCCCCTGGTATCCGGCGACGCCATCTGTGGTTCGGAGGGAGGAGGAGGAGGAGGAGGAGGAGGAGGAGGAGGAGGAGGAGGAGGAGGAGGAGGAGGAGGAGGAGGACCAGTGTAAACCCAAGAGCCATCAACGATGCTGGAATAGACCCTCCCTCCAAGCTCCCTCTTCGCAGGCCCCTACGACGGTTCAATTCCATTGAGGGTCTGCCTCGTTGGAAGACAACCGTCTGACGACCCGGAAACATGCCAAAATATTGCTCTCGGGATTCCAACGACGCGGATCAACCTGGCTGTTGCGTCTTGACGATCCTGGATCGCGCCAGAATGCCCTTCTTGGAATTGCAGCACCGCGAACCAACGTTACTGTTGCACCCGCAAAATCCTGAATTCCTCCAATACACCGTTTCTGGTACGTTGATCGTAGGACTCCGTGAAACTCTTGCACATTGTAAGAACAAATGCGCGCGGCGCTAGGGCGAGAGCCACATTCTGAAAACAGGTTATCCTCAATCCGTGAAGCTCGTACAATTTCTTATAACGCATGTGCGCGGCGCTACGGCGAGAGCCCCTTTTTGAAAACCACCCGCCCTCTATCTGTGAAACTGTTGCAAACTTTCAAGCTTCAGAATCATCATCAATGATGAGACAGAGAAAAATGATTCTGATGGAACAGGAATGGAGGAGGAAAGGGACGGGAGACTAGAGGAGGAGGGGAGGGGGGCAGGAGGAGGAGGAGGAGGAGGAGGAGGAGGAGGAGGAGGACCAGGAGGAGGATGGGGGGAAGTAGGAGGAGGGGGAGGAGGGAGGAGGAGGAGGGGGAGAAGGAGGAGGGGGGGAGGGGGAGGAGGATCAGGAGGAGGAGGACGAGGAAGACGAGGAGGAGGAGGAGACTGGAGGGTGACCATCCCTGCTCGAGTCGACGCCGCGGCAGCTGCAGGGCGGATCGACAGGCCACCGAGCTCGCCAGGGAGGCGTCGCAAACCGACCGGCGATGTGCAAGCACATGCAGCGCACCGCGGCGTGTGAGAATCCAACATCCAGGATCGACATGCAAGGAGGAGAGGAGGAGGAGGAGGAGGAGGGGAGGAGGAGGGAGGAGGAGGAGAGGAGGAGGAGGAGGAAGGAGGAGGAGGAGAGAAGAACAGGCGCTCTTCCTCCCCTCCTCCTCCTCCCCCTCCTCCTCCCCCTTCCTCCTCCCCCCTTTTCCTCCTCCTCCTCCTCCTCCTCCTCCTCCTCCTCCTCCTCCTGCGATGTGCGGCACATGCATCGAGCACGCTGCAAGCCACTACCACCCACCCACCCAACCGAGGAGACCTTGAAAAACTATAACCAAAACGCAAAACTGATAGCAAGGATCCGCGATACGGATGCAGAGGCCTTGGAATCCCATGTCGAAGCATTCCCAGCGGGGCTGGCCATCGAACGTGGTTGAGAATGGACCGAAGATCGACCGAAGAGGCAAGGATGCAAAGGCAAGCTTGGGAAATCGATCATCTTTACAACCGGTCTCGACTGCACTTGGAGGCCTAGAAATGGGCACCAACACCAACTCAGGGGGCTGCCTCCACAGGGGGAAGATGATCCAAGATTTCGGTCTTGGTGGTAATATTTCGGTCACCTTGGAAGCCAGAATATTACCACCACCACCGAGATCGGGATCTTCTTCCTTCGGTGGAGGCACACCGCCGATGTTGGTGTTGGTGTCAACCTCTAGGCCTGCGATGTACAGCATCGTGAGACATCGCGACCCGAGCCCGAGCCCCAGCTCGCTGCGGCACGGAGCACGCCAGACAACACACGACGCCGGAGGTCCCCGGCCGCTCCTCCAGCGACCGCCCCGGCCGCCAAGCCGACCCACAGCGCTCCGGTCCGGCGAGGAGGAGGAGGGAGAGGAGGAGGAGGAGGAGGAGGAGGCCAAAGCGACGTCGGCGACGATCACGGCGACGACATCACGGCTCCCCGACGGCAGCGGCGGTGGCGAGCCCGAGAGCCATGCGCCGTAGTGTCCCCACTGGGGTTTTCTCGCCCGGCCTCGGGCCAATGGGGCCCTCGCAGGACGGTGCGGCCCGAGAGCTGCTGCAGAAGGCTGGGGGTCTGGAGAGAGCTGCAGCCGTGCTTTCTCAGGGTGTCATAGCTAGTTCGCGGCATCGGAGGAGCGGCGATCACAAAGGGGTCCTGCGCGAGATTAGGGGGCCACATGCGAACCCTACCCCTACTCCCCGCGATTTCTGAAGGGGAGGGTGGGGTTCACTTCGTTCGGGAGGTCACGAGCGAAGTGAACCCCACCCTCCCCCTCAAAAATCGTGGGGGGTAGGGGTAGGGTTCGCATGTGGCCCCCTAGAGATGAAGCCAGCGACCTTGCGCAGCGGCTTGCGCGGGCCGCCAGCGCGGCACGCTTCATCGGAAACGAGGGCGCTCACGCACGACCCCGCGCGAGCAGCTTCCGCGCCAATGCCGGCGCAGACGAGCCCCTGTTTTGTTGCGTCGCCCAGGTGGGCGATTTCGGAAGCCCTGAACCCAAAAAACGCTTTTACCTCCTGGAGGCGCATCTTCTACTTCCGCTGCCTCCCGCGGGCCTTCCGCCAGCTTCCGCCGGCAAAGGCGGCCTCGCTTTACTTCCGCCGACCTTCCGCCGCGGAAGAGATGGCAACTCCTTCGATCCTCGAATGCAAGGTCCTTTTTGGAACGCTCCAAGTGTCTGAAGAGGGGCCCGCCGATCCGAAGCGGGGCTGGGCGTGGCGCAGGGC